AAAGAATTATGTACAAATTTTCAAACATATTTCTGCAGAGATCTGTAAATAATGCATTTATGAATTTTTTTTTTTCATTTTTCATTGCCCATCTCAAATAATAGGAGTTTATTTGCTAAGAAACTATTGTCCCTTGTCAATTAACTAATTCTTGATCCTCTTATGATTTTTTTTTCTCTCTCTGAATACTTTTTATTATAGGCTTCTGTTCACATCACATGCTGTGAGATCACAAAAGGGTGGGAATAACTACTAATGAAGAGCAGCCTTAAAAATAGTTACAGGCCAAGTTTTTAAATTATTCTCAGATGCATCCAATACACATTTTAAAATAAGGTTTTTATAATTTTTATTTAAATATCTCTATATTGATGTACCAGTGAAAAAGAAACATTATAAAAGATAATACAAGTTTCAAGCAAGCAGATTTAAGCATGTAACAAATTATGTAATGTTAATGCTGACCATGTTTTATACCTTTATATTAGAAGGCAAAAAAATAAAGCAGATTAAGTGAACAAAGTTTCAAAATGACTTTTCAAAAAATAAGCAACACTAAAACTAAGTTATTATGTTTAGACCAAATTTTTGTATTTGTTTTTTAACCAAGTCTAAAGAAGTGTGTCATTTGTTGTAAATTAATTTCATGCAAATGTCGAGAGCCAGCATGGGCCCCAGGTAAACATCCTTGCTGGGCTCGTTTTTTGTCTCTTTTGTAACATAAACAAAGCAAAATCATAGCAGCAGCCATAAAAACATTAATAAAGTAACAACAAATATCTGTTAATTATTATTTCGATCATTCTTAATGAATCAAGCGTCTATATGCAAAGAAAAGCCAAAAGCTATGTTTTTTATGATTAAATGAAAATATAGCCTAAAAGTGCTTTGCGGGTTTTATGACATAACCAGGCTTCATTTACCCAGGCCCCTGGGCAGTTCCCCCCTCTCCCGGTCTGCAGGCCTGTATGCAAAGGTCTTACATCTGCAAACAACCAAACATGGTTTAAAAGGATTTAATTGGATGTTAGCCTTGTTTTATATGATCTTACCTGAAGAAGACAGACCAATAAATTGTTGTTTGCCAACCTGTTATTATTATTATTAGCGTAATGTGCTTCCTTAGTCAAGTGTTGTACATTTTGCAATCCGAAGTAAGAAAGTGGTAACAAATATATTAATTTGTATGAAAATATGTTAAGAATAATTCAGTATTCAGAATTTAGCTTATAACAGTGTAAACATTGCACAGTTATTTTTTTTGTAGTCTATACAAGATGATAAACTAAATGAAATGTCTTGTCTTTTTAACGTACGAGTTAAAGAAAGTCAAAGATCCCTGTAAATAAATCTCTAGTGAACTGAACCTTTTATCTGTTTATGAGAATAATTTACAATCAAATTATAAAGTAGTTTTTTAATGAAATACTAGGAAAACATATTTCATAAAAGCATAAAGAAAATGCAGGATCACTATAGACTCCCAACTACTATATTTTGTAGAAGTAATTTGTAGTCGTGGTGTCATGTTATTTATTTCTAAAATTTTTTGTGTAGTAAGTAGAAAGTTATATTTTTTGTTTTTAGTTATTTTATATCATTGTATTAAAATAAAGTACAGTGCCATCTTTTGTAAAGTTTCCAGTTTTTTAAATCAAAGTATAAAAGATGCATGAGTGTTTGGAAGTATTAATTGGCAATAAACCACAAATGAACAGTGTAGTTGGACTCTCAGGAAGATCCTGCTATTGACACAGTGTAATAGAGTAATAATATGTTTCACACAAGGTGATTACATTTTTGTATTAAACTAAGATGTTAAGAATTATTTTTAACAGTAACTTTATTTTGATAAGACATCTGTCTAATGTAATAAGCTACTTACTTGCATCTATTACCATAACACTTTCTGCTGTTGCTGTTGAAAAGTACATACTACGTCTGTTTTCTTTAAATTTCAGCGGATGCTTTCTTTAAAGCTGCTATTAGCTTACTTCCAGAAGTTCCAAAGACAGTGGAAGTAGATGGAAAACACCGTTCAACTGAACCATTTCTTATTTCTTATATCAGTAATTTTCTGTCGGCTCTGTTGGTAATACCAGTAAGTTTATGTATATATTAACTAACAACTCCAGCTACTTAACTCTCTGTACATGGAAGATTTTCATCAAACCTATGAGCTATTTACAGATAAAGTTTATTAATAGGACTTTTTGTGGAAGTAATTTATAGTATATTTATTTTTAGTAAAACTGTTTGTTGTAATACAGCCTTAAAAACTTTGTTATCATAACAGTACCAGTTAATAGGAGCTGTATATTTGATACATAATTATAGGCCTAATTGTTATACCCTTTTTTTTTTTCAGACTTTGGCTGTGACATTTTCTTTATTTTTTTTGTTTTGTTTGAATTCTGACCTTTTTTTTTTAAACTGAAAAAATAATATATCCCAACTTATATACATACATACACAAATTGTAGATAATAAAAACTTACAATAAAGATAAGGTGATAAGGATAGTGCGAGACCTATCACCTAACTTCTACAGGTATAATACTGTACTTAAATTGTTATTTTATCTTTTAGTGTAGGTTTAGGTAGTGCTTTAAGCATCTAAGGAATTTTCTATGAACAGAAAACTTCCTGACATATTTTTTTCCCTGTTAGATGACATTTTGGTCTATATGTTGAGATCTTCTTATATGCATTGATAGTTCCAAAATAGTTCCCAGTTGACTGTAGTAAATTTCAATGTTTCAGGCAGAAAAACTATCCTTCAGAATGGATTCATTATTAGTAATCTAAATAATCTGAAATTATCCTTCAGAGTGGATTCATTATTAGTAAACTAAATAATGTGAAACTATCCTTCAGAGTGGATTCATTATTAGTAAACTAAATAATCTGAAACTATCCTTCAGAGTGGATTCATTATTAGTAAACTAAATAATCTGAAACTATCCTTCAGAGTGGATTCATTATTAGTAAACTAAATAATCTGAAACTATCCTTCAGAGTGGATTCATTATTAGTAAACTAAATAATCTGAAACTATCCTTCAGAGTGGATTCATTATTAGTAAACTAAATAATCTAAAAACTGTCCTTCTGAGTGGATTTATTGTTATTGTAATTCTTCACAGTGTAAACAGAGTAATCTGTTTGTGCTTTGGGGGTCTGCAGAAAAATTCCTGGAAACTTCCTAAGGGTCTAATTTGTGTTTGAGTTAATAGATTATCTCTTTACTTTCAAGACTGTGTTTCAGTTAATAAATTACTTTATCTAATTTTAATAAATATCTTTGCAATTTTGTTTCTCAAATATAAGTAGAATCTTGAGTAATCTTAACAAATTTAGTATGTCATTCAAAGTGTTTTCTACTTTACTCAGATAATCCATTTTGTCCAAAATAACAGTACTGTTATCTGTATCAGATTTGGTTATAGCAATATCCTTATGTTAGGCAAGATTTTTATAGTTAATATTCTACCTTTATTTAGTTTAAACATTGACATGATTAGAGGTATCAGTTTTATTGTCTTAGGACTACTCATAACAATGACATGAATAAAGGTATCAGTTTTATTGTTTTAGGACAACTCAGAACAATGACTTGACTAGAGATACCAGTTTTATTGTTTTAGGACCACCCATAATAAGAACCTAATCAGAAAGATATGTTTTGGGACCAATTAGATCATGACTCTAACCAGAAATGCCTGTTTTCTTGTTTCAGGATCATCCAGAGCAAGAGCCTCTATATTTGATTCGTGGTTTACTGAATGTTGTTCAAGATTACACTTGGGACTCCAATAGTGATGCTCGTATCATTGTTTATCTAAACGTGTTGAACCTGCTATCATCTATGACACAAGAATCCTACATTTACCACATTGAGAAAGGTATAGCTGTCTAATTGAACTCAATACCTATAGCTTTTGTAGTTCAAGTGGTTTGTGATGTTGAATAACAGATAACTAATGAGAACAATGCTTTTCAGGTGGTAATTATTTTTAGTTTAGTAAGTAGGCGTTTGTGGACATGTACAATATTGTGCATCATCACCCTGTCCTGCTACCAATCACACTATGGGAAATTGGGATTTTACTATTGATTAAATACCTTTGTCAAAATATTTGCTATCAAGTTTAACTATAGTTTTAAATGTCTTATTTAACCCCTTAACTGGTAGTTTCTTGGACACTAGTGGCTCCATTATGGCAGGTTTCTTCCAAAGCAAAGTGCAGGACATTGATTTTGGCATTTATTTAGCATTCAAAACTTTATACACACATTGAGCATTTGAGTTTTACTTGCAGAGATAACAGTTACTCCCGATACACGTGATATCAGTGTGTTTAGAGATCAGAAACTTTCCCAACATACATGTGATGTTGGATCTCTTGGTAGTGGTAGAAGCTGAACACCAGGTGTATGGTGTGATGTTGGATCTCTTGGTAGTGGTAGAAGCTGAACACCAGGTGTATGGTGTGATGTTGGATCTCTTGTTAGTGGTGGCAGCTGAACACCAGGTGTATGGTGTGATGTTGGATCTCTTGTTAGTGGTGGCAGCTGAACACCAGGTGTATGGTGTGATGTTGGATCTCTTGTTAGTGGTGGCAGCTGAACACCAGGTGTATGATGTGATGTTGGATCTCTTGTTAGTGGTGGCAGCTTAACTTCAGGTGTATGGAGTGATGTTGGATCTCTTGTTAGTGGTGGCAGCTTAACACCTGGTGTATGGTGTGATGTTGGATCTCTTGTTAGTGGTGGCAGCTGAACACCAGGTGTATGGTGTGATGTTGGATCTCTTGTTAGTGGTGGCAGCTTAAATTCAGGTGTATGGAGTGATGTTGGATCTCTTGTTAGTGGTGGCAGCTTAATACCAAATCTATGGTGTGATGCTGGATCTCTTTGTAGTGGTGGTGCACCAGGTGTATGGTGTGATGTTGGATCTCTTGGTAGTGGTGGTGCACCAGGTGTATGGTGTGATTCTAGTGGTAGAACACTAGGTGTACCAGAATAATTACTACCCAATTGAATCAACTATTTTCTGAAGGAGCCCTTCACTGTGTTTGGGAAGTTGCTGTTGGGGCATGCCTAGTTTGCCCAAGTTTTGGTTTTGACCCAGCAGATGCATCACTTAATCCAGTTGACTCACTTCTAGTTACAAAATTTACATTCTGAATCTATTTCACTAGCTGTATGCATTAAAAAAAAACAACATGTAAAGACAATTTACACTTCACTGTGGGAGCCATGTTTGTTGAGTGATGGGGATGAAAGGAATAAAATGTGTATGGGAAAATGTACATATGTCATCCTATTTTTCCTGTAGAGAAAACTTCATCAGGAAAAGTTACATGTCTATCACAAAACATAACATTGGTGTAAAATATACCAAAAGTTTGAAGAAGAACTGTAAAAACTTACACTTTGTAAGAGTATATTTTGTGTAATTGTGATGATGAACCGAGAGTTAGTTTTGTGTTTTTGTAGAAGTTTTAATTAGATTTTCAGTCACCTTTGCCATTTTTTAAAAATCTTTCTTGTATGTGTTTGAATCAGAAAAACTGAAAACAAACAAAGATGTTTTTACGAAGTTAAATTTGAAACACATTTTAATATTTTCCAGTGGATTCTAATGATGCTCTGTATGGAAGTGACCCAAAGTTTTTAGCTATGATAAGCAAAATTGGTTCAACTCTGGTTGATGAAATGCTTTCCCATTTGAAATTACTTGGTGATAAAGGGGTAAGTATGTTTGTTATGATCATATAAACAGTTTGATGTCTTTTTGTGCATTTTATACAATTTGTGTAACTACACATGAAAATTTCTGTTTTAATGTAATAGAACTATTGAAATTGTTTAATAATTTTTTTTGTATTATACAATGAAAGTCATTCTCAAAACATAGACATCCTGGAGTTATGTCGTTTATTATTTTTATTTTTTGATATTGTGTAAAGGTAGCTCTTCTCATTTCCAAGTGGTTGATAGGAATTTGATAATTTTATGATATCATCAGATTTGATTTTTTTTTATATTTTCTGCTTGTTAGGTTCTGTTGTTCATCAATGGTTATGAAAGCATACCTCACTAAAGATGAAGAGTTATTAAGTTGTGCATAATAGTAATGAAGAATAATTAACTTTAAGAAAAAAACACTTCATCTAAACTATTATTAGACAAAAGTCTGTTCGGGTGGGTGGGTTGTGTCTTCCTATAACTATCAAATCACTAGACTTATTGTAATTAAACATGGCATGTATCCTTAGGGACTCACAGGGAGTGATATAGTTGGTTGGGATTTAGATCTGACCTCCCTGGAGGCCCCTCTGTCTTCCTTGTGCATTGTGCCTGCTTATAATTGGTGAACCACTGAAATAATTGTAACCAAACCTGGCATGTATCGTTAGGGTGATCTTACTTCCCTATGTCTTTCCTGGATATTGCACGGGTGTTTCAGTCCTTCATAAATAAATCGCAACATTTCTGAAAATACTGCTGTGAATAATTGTAGCATTATCAAGCAATAGGTAACATCCTTTTTTGTAAACAGATAATATTAATTTTTTGGTTTTGAGTAAATTGTAAAGCTCACAATTCAATTATTATGATGATATTTTGCTTTCTGTTACTATTTAGTGTTATGTTAACAAATTTTACAAAATTGTATCCAAACTATTTGTAGACAACGAAACTTTCCATGAGTAAATCCCCTTGTGGCAAGTATGAGAACTTATGACGCTGAAAACTGGGGTTTCGATACCCATGGTGATCACAGCACAGATAGCCCATTGTGTAGCTTTATGCTTAACAACAAAATAAACAGACAAACTGTGTAAAACTTATTCATTATAAAATTTAAAAATAAAATATATATCTATTTTTTCAATGTATTTGTGACTGGAGATGTTTGAACATAAAATATATTTTGTGAACATTTACTCTTTCCTTGTGTTTTTTTCAATGTAATTGTGACTGGAGATGTTTGAACATAAAATATATTTTGTGAACATTTACTCTGTCCTTGAAACATCTCCAGTCACAATTACATTGAAAAAAAAAGAACATAAAATATAGGAATATCCTTGTTTTTCCTCCTGTGTTTTTTAAATTTTTTATCAGTATTATTCATTTTATTGTTTTTAAAATGACCCAACATGGCCAGGTAGTTAGGGCACTTCACTCGAAATCTGAGAGTCGCAGGTTCAAATCCCTGTACCACCAAACATGCTTGCCCCTTCAGCTGTGGAGGCATTATAATGTAACAGTCAATACCACTATTCGTTCGTTATAGAGTAGCCCAAGAATTGGCGGTGGATGGTGATGACTAGCTACCTTCCCTCTAGTCTTTCACTGCTAAATTAGGGATGGCTAGTGCAGATAGCCCTTGTGTAGCTTTGCGCAAGATTCAAAACCAAAATAATTATTTTTAATTGAAGGACATTTAGAGTAACCTATCATTTGTAGAGCTTTAAATTCTAATCTGTTTACTCATTTTTGTATTATCAATTACAAGTAATATTGAAATGCTGGTATTTACAGACATTTAAACGACAAGCATCGCTAGCCATGGATTTCTTTAACAGAATTGTCACTCATGGAGATCTTACTAATAATTCTTTAGCTACATTAGCTGTGAATCTGTGGGGTGTGATTAACAAACACGGCACTGTGGATACGAAATATTGTGTAAGTCAGATTTTATTTGACACTCATTTTTGTTAAACTAAAGGAGTTCTTATTAAGAAAATACTGTTTATTTTAGCTACAAACACCTGGAAATGTGTACATACTGAGTGATGAGCAACATATAAATGCAAATGAAACAACTGAATGATAGGTAGACATTCTTAAAAAAACAACTAAAATCTACATTACAAAATTACAGTATGGTATTTAAGTGGAAAAATTATGTAGTCTAGTAATTTAAAGAACTGGTATTTGGTGGATTTATTTGCTTAGTGTAAGTGTATTTTTGGAAATTACAAAGATGAAAACCATGAATTTTAAGCTACAAGTTCAAATCCTAGAGAGTAAAATCAGATTGAGATATTCAGAACTACATAAGTTAACATATGTTTTTCTAATAAATATATTGTTGTAACATATTTTGTCATTGCATTGATGGGTTCAATTAGATTATTTGGTAAAATTAATGTAAGGCCAGTCCACTTAATGATAACTAATTAATTTATTTCTTCAATAAGTGTTTACTACAACCATATTCACTTGTAGGCCCAATTTCATAAATACACTTTTCAACATAAACTTCACAACTGGGTATAGGCCTAACTTCAAATTCTTCATTCAATATAAACTATGAGATGTACACTTAACTTATAAGCTTTCTTGTATAATTCCTCAGCTAATCGATTAAGTAACTGAGTAGATGCAATAACTCTCGATACTGACACTGAAATTAATCACTCACTGGTAACTCAATAAATCTTCACTGAACTCATACATTTGCTTCTATGTTACACGAAACTTCTCGATTATTAACTTTTGTGAACTTTCTAGATCCTAATTTCATCATAATCAGGAGTTTTTTCTTGTAAACATCTAAATCAAAACATAAAAATATATCTCACAACAATTTATTACTAGCTTGCCAATACAGTGACATGCATCTGTAAGATTGTGTTTTAATCATATTAAGGCCATAAAGTGAAATAATATAAATACAGAAACACATCATGTAATGTTAACTTTTTATGTAGCTTACATATCAAAGACAGTGACACCAACCTAAATATTAAATACTTTTAAACTTTTCTGGTAATGATAATCTAACAATGAACACTCACAAATTGTAAATTAGAAAATATAACTATTTTTTTTTTTTAGGTTCGTTGTTTAGAGTTTGTGAAGAAGCGAGGAATGAGACCAGATGGAAAAGCATTCACTGATTTAGCAGCCAGACTGCAGGTTCCTAGCAGAGTTTAGCCATAGTGCTCAATAAATTTAAATATAAATTTTCATTTGTAATCATCAGATTTTTGATGATTTTGGTGTATTAAATTCTTACATGTACTGATTAAGTGCTTCAATTTGTTAGCTTTTTATAGAAATACCTTGAAATGAAATCCATTGTAGTATAAAGATAAGAACATCTTTTAAGAGATGTTTTCATCATAGTGGAACTATAATCATAGAAATTATTAGTAACATTTACCCTAATTGGTTAAGATTTGCAAATGAATAAACAAATATATTTATGAAAAGCAAAAAATTTTCACTTTGATACATCAGTTTGAAATGTGGAAAAACAAAGTGTAAAGTGAAAATTTATCTTCAAATCTTCTTCATACAATTGAAAAGCATAGTTTTATAAAAAAAAAACATTACTCGTAAAAGATTAATAACAGAAAACTCCAAAATATCTGTAATGATAGAAACAAACATTCATCATATACAAGTGAAACCTACATGTTATTGAAACAGTGTAAAAAAAAAAAAGTAAAATATTTTATTGACGTACCATTAACAATATTCAAACTGAGGTTTTTCAAATCTAAAAAAAATCATTACTTTTAAAAATACAAACTGTTTTTGCTGTTGCTTGTGAATATAATTCCACCCTTGCTGTGTTTGTATGTATTAAACATTTTCCTATTAGAATTATTTAATCTGTGTATGCCCCTGATACATCATGTAAAGATTCTTATAGATGCTTATTTGATTAAATGAATAAAAACAATTGTTATGGAAACAACAATATTAAGTTTCAATTTCTTTAATAGTAGATGCATTAATGTGTGATTAATTATTCATAGATGAAACACTTTATAGTAGCATTTATATATAAAAGATGTTTTGGTTCATGTTCTACTACTGATTTGAATATTATTCTATTTCCATGAATGTGAATCACAACTACACCTGTAAAAAATAAATATGATATTCAAGCCAAATTAGAAGATCCAATATTAAAATATATTTCATTGATATGTCAGTATTTTAAAAATTTGTTTTTGAGGAAACAATTTTTGAATTTTCATTGAATCAAATAAGATATTCAAATATCCCTTATTGTTAAAAAGGATTAAAATATTTTTTGCACTAATCTCTAAAGTTACTGATTTTATTTTTCTTAAAGGTGCAAGTTTCTTCTGATAGTGAAAACATTATCCTAAATTAGTGTTTTATTAAGAAATTGCATTCAAGCTTTTCATATTGCATTTTATTACTAGTGCATTGTTATGTTAGAACTTAAGGAGAGTTTCCATTTATTGATTGATTAGCAAATAAATTCACAAAACCTACTAAGAAAACAAAAATGCGAATTTTAGCCTGGGTGTGGCTAAGTGGTTAGCATGCCTAGAATTTTAATTTGAGTTTCCATGGTTTGTTTCTTGCAGTCAAACCTGAGAACCCATTAGGAGCCACAGTATGAACATTTCAGAAAAGCTAAATGTAGATATTAAGTTTGAACATTTCTCTACATGTCCATGCAAGTTTTTGTGAAAATCAGTACATCCTTAGCCCCCCCCCCCTCAAAACCCTACTGATTCCTCATTTAAGGGTTCAATATGAAAATTTTGAAATTTAAGAATTGATCTTTATTTTTAATGATACCTTACAAGCTATGTTAGTCTTTATCTAAATCTGTGGATGCAGTATTAGGCAGAGGTGGTGGCCTTGTGGCAAAACTCTGAATTTCAGAGTTGGTGATTTGGGTTTGAATCTGTGCAATACCACAAAATATTCCATACACTTTAACCTGTGAGTGCATTATGAGACTAACATATGATCCCTTAGCTTGAGTGGGAAGTTGCTGCAGGCTGTCTTTCTTCTGATTAGTTGTTCAAAATTAGGGATGGAGGGAGAGATTTACCACAAATACTGTTTTATGGACTAAAATTGTCATAATCTTATATTGAACTGATTCTTAAATTTGTATTTACAGATAGAACATATTCCACTCTTTTTATAGTGTACATTTGTAATAAATAAAACAAAATTTTAAAGTTTTGCTAGTTTTAGTTCAAAATTTGGTAAATCTGCACTAGGTTGTGCTAATTCAACCCTAGGTGTCACTTTCTATAGCCTCAGGTGGCCAAGGACGGTTATCTGCTGTTTTGTGGAATGTATCTAATCTCATCCTAATGTGAGGTTATTTTACTATTGTCTCGTTGAGTAGAAATACTTCTCATTTTGTGATTGGTTCAGTATAAAGAGAGAATGTGGATTATGAGTTCTTACATTTCAACACTGAAAGAGTTAAGACATTGTTTGAAGTTTATAATTTCAAAAAGTCTGTTAAACATAGATACATTTATTTATATTGTTATCTACCACTGCAACTTTGTTGTACATTTCAAAAAAAGTAATTTTAAAATGACCTTATGTAGAATTACAGAAAAAGGATGTCAGATTATATCTCAAACGATGTTTTTGATAACTTATTTCTAGAATGTAAACAAAAAAGTGAGAAATGATATAGATCCTTGACCAACTATAATGCCAAAAAAAATAATTCTGTTCTATAAAATTCTTTAAGATGTCAAATCAAAGAGTATTAGTCCTATAAGTATGATAAAAATCATGTTTATTGTAGATGTTTTTATCACAATCTTACTAATTACTCTCCATTTGGAAACTAATTTCACATTTTTTTAAAATCTAAATTGAGGTCTCCGGTGGCTTTTCAGCATGTTGTTAACATAGAGATTAAAGGAAGCTTCTTCACACAAAAGACTTATTCATATTTGATAATACAATCTCAAATGTGAAGAACTACTCTAACATTGTTCAGAAGACAAATAAATTCAAATGTTATCACTGACATCATTGATTAAATGTAAAATTATTGAAATGCTCAACAATTACATTTTGCAGTAAGCGGTATAAGTATCTCAGAGCTTTGGCTCTGAGTGAAATCAAAAATGCAACACAATTACCCCATCACTGGGGACGGGTACTTTTGCTTGTTATTTATAAATAACCCTTCATCTTGAATGTTAAAATTATGAAATAAATATATCCTGTACATATTTTTCCTAATACATCTATGAATTTTATAATTTGCATACCATACGGTTCACGCATATTTTCTGTGAATAAAAAGAAAAAGCATTAAACAACAGTTTCTTCTTCATAAGTAATCATTCGTGTATCTGGTTATTAGGCCTATTGCATATTTCTTCATGCTAAGCCTTAGTTTTAATTTTCTTCTGAAACTGATCTAATATATAGAATCTATTAATTTATCAATTATTTTTCAATTCATATATCAAGATAACCTTACAAGTCTTGAAATGTTGAAAAACTTGGCAAAATGCACATCCACGAAAACGTCGATAGTGTCAGCCAGGCTCCTCCCTTTCGGCTTGAGCCTGACACGTCGTTCCTTATCGTATGATCAAACAGTAGGCCGGCCTAGAATATGACCAAACCTAAGTTACAACTACACTTTTTACAACTACGTTTTATTTAACTTATCGCTGATGGTATTCTAGCTCCTAGATGCTTTCAATATTGATCTCGATGACGATTTGACCTTCTACAAGTAAGAGTTTGAGTCAATGTGTCTTTTAACATCACACAGCCTTTGGTGCTTGTAAGTTGCAGCTGGCTGAACGGTTACACATTGTGCATTGCAAATAATTCTTACTGGATGATTCAGGCACGATGCATGGGTACTTCTTTGTTCGTTCTGGTACTTCGAAGGACCTGATATTTTGTCAGTTTGGGTTGTTTTGATGTTGGTGGACCGTCAGATAGTGAACCCCTTTAACTCATATTGTTTACTAGATTGACAACAAATGGCATGCGCTTGATTGTATGTGACTGCTCATTTCATTGGTTATCAGGCGAACAAAGAACCAATTATTCGACGCAATACACATGCGAAACAACTATCTATTTAAGAGTGGTTCTATCCTCGCTATCCATTGCGCGCATCTGAAGCAAAGGGTTAGTACCGTTCTAACAATTTTTTGAAGATAATTACATGTTTAATATCATATGATGAAAAAAAAAGAAATTAACACTGATAGCGTGATTTATATTCAAAATGAGTGAGAATTAAATGACATGATTTCTGGGTTTGGTTTTTCATTATAACATTAATATATAGAAGATATTCAACTATTTGGAATGTTAATTCTTTTTGACATGTAATTTTGACAAAATAGCAATAACAATAACTTTAGCATTCCTTCATGTTGTCTTCTTAGTCATAGACACGCTTTATTACTAGAATCAATGTTATCGTTATTCTAACATTTATTATTTGTTATTATTTTTATGTAATTTAAAAATCACCATTAGGTCTACCAGTAAATAGAAACAGTTGTTCCATAGATGGAAGAGAATGTCAAACACTATGAACTAAAAGCCATCACCATATAAATTTGTGTGACTAGAGTATATCTCATATTTAAATTAGACTTTTAATATGTCAAATTCGCAAAAAATTACAAAGTGTCCTCTATTGGCGGTTTGTTATGCGTTTATTTCCACATCACACGATAAGATACGAGAGTTCAGAATAGGTATAATATTGAAAAAGCAGATAGTAAAAATCTTTTTTTCTTGATAAAAAATTTTCATAAAAAGAAAAAAATAATATTTTTGACAGAGCCGTCCACAAATAAATATACCCAATATTTTTTTTGTATATTATATATATATTATCTACCAAGGAAGTTATTTTATTATTCGTGTTATCTTCAGTCTTCACTAACACTGGTTTGTTAGGTGCACGTGGAGTGTGGCATAATAATTATAACTTAAAAGTAATAAGACTTAAATTGGTAAGATTTTATTTTTTGTTTTGTAATGTGAAACTGTTTTCCGCTGAGATTTTTATTGAAATAGTATGAGATTAACTTCGAAACTACAGACTGAAAATGAAATAGTAATAGTACTAATTATTAATTTCACTAGTTATAGTGTAATAGAACTTAAATTGGTAAGATTTTATTTTTTGTTTTGTAATGTGAAAATGTTTTTCGCTGAGATTTTTACTGAAATAGTATGAGATTAAGTTCAAAACTACTGACTGAAAATGAAATAGTAATAGTACTAATTATTAATTTCACTAATTATAGTGTAACAATATTAATAACATAATAATATCATTACCATAAACGAGCACTAGTAGTCTAGTAGTATTACACGCTCAATGTTGTTCTTTTAGAATTTTATAACAATTGTGCACAGTGTGATTATGTTGTTCCTTAACTTTATAAGTTTATTAAGACTAATGCCAGTGAATGATGGTGACTCATGAAATGGGTCGAAAGCTAACTGAAAATGCAATAAGAAATTTTTGGGTTACATTTATAAATGTGGTGAAAAGTAATTCTAACACTAATATAATGGTAGCATTAAGTAACAACAAATTTGGGTTACTTTGCTTATAGTTACAACTTACAATAACACGAGTAGTGATAAACTCGAGTGATTGTTTAAAGAGCATACTATTATAATTACATTGTGGGGGTAAATTT